CGCCGAGCCAATCACGGCAGGCTTTGTATTAGTGAATACAGGCTATGTATTCATTAATACAAAGCCTGCTGTGATTGGCTCAGCGCGGTATACTATATGTAGCCGAAGCTCTCTGAGTCTCCCGCTCCCGGCCGCCAAGGAGAGAAACACTGCTTTTTCTTTTTTTTTCTTCATTCTGACACGGAGTCGTGTCAGATTAGAAAAAATAAATAAATTTGCCCGTAGGAATGCATTGCTAGATTCCTATTGGCTATTTCAATTTGCACTAGCCAATAGTAAACTAGCATTGCAGCAGCCCTCTGCTGCAGTTCTTCATCAGGTCCATCAGCAGAGGGCGGGTGCAATGCTAGTTTACTATTGGCTAGTGCAAATTGAAATAGCAAATAGGAATCTAGCAATGCATTCCTATGGGCAATTTTTTTGTTTTCCTATTCTGACACGGCTCCATGTCAGAATAAAGATAAAAAAAGAAAAAGCAGTGCATCTCTCCTTGGCGGCCGGGAGCAGGAGACTCCCGGAGCGCCCTTGAGAGTTTGCTATCTGGAGATCTGTGTACCTGGTTAGCTGGTAACCAGGGACGCTGATCTCTCTGCAAGTGACTGGAGCCAGCCGTAAGATCACGACTGGCTCCGCCCAGCTGTCAGAAGCAGGCTGTCGGCCAGCCAATGGCCGGCCGCTCAGCCAGCTTCGGCTTTCAACGTGGCTCAGCCGAGCCGAGGCATATGCCTTCGGCTCGACTGAGCCGCTCGGCTAAGTTCGGGAGCTGTACGGGCTATTGTGAATAGCCCGTACAGCAGCCCTTCGGTGCTACTTCTCCTAAGGAGTCCTAAGGAGTCCTGGGGCCGAAACTAGCCGAAGGATCGGCCGAAGCTACGGCTAGATCCTTCGGCTGCTTAGTGAATAGACCCCTAGGTATGCTAGTACAGGAACATACTGGATATAAAATAAAAGAAGTTATCTAAATAGGTTTAATTTATTTAAACAAAACTGGGAGGTCTACATTGGTTGCACTTTAGGCAAATGGCAGAATGGTTGGTATACTGGATAGTAATTGTGGTTTTAAGTGAGATCCTTTGGGTTTCTTAGCCTTAAGGAGTCCGGTTTAAAAATAAATAAAACCTTACTTCAGTAATAATGATAATGATGTGTAAACATTATTTTCCCTCCAGGCTTGGCAAACTTAGTCACGTACACAGGTGTGGGTTGTTTTTTTGTTTTTTTAATAGGGCTGCCAGTTCAGCCTTGCTTTTCAAAAACTGTATTGGGGGCCACAGATGTATGGATTAGCGATTGGTATTTCTAATCGATAAACACATATGGATTGCAATCAAGAGACCAGACTGTAACTATTGGTTAGTGCACCACAGACATAAAGGCAGGGTTCAATCAGTTTGACAAAAAAGCTATTGTAAACAGCCGATCGTATATGAACCACATATGTGATCTCAAAATAAACCGTCAGAAGTTTATAAAGGGTTCAAAATTGAGCGATTGATTGATTTCAACTGACTTTTTATTCAGCTGCCCCAATCGACCCATATTGATTGAAATTGTTACAATTAATCAAAGATCAATCGCAAACGACCATGTCCAGCAGATGATCGTTTCTATCAAACTTCACTACCATTGTTTCTTTTTATCGAAATATCTGTTGCCACCATTACAGCTGTCCGAAATACCCTGTTGGAACAAGCATACTTTTTCAGAGTTTAACATTAGCATTGGGCTAGTGAATTCTTTAATTGCACAAGACCTTCAATATATTAGTTATAATTAGTAAAATGGATTTGTAGATGTAAGGTGTGCTATGTTGGAAACTTCAAGTCCTTATAATGTGTCGACATAGAATAGCTGTAAATTCCCTGAGGGTCAAATTGAATCAAAATGTTCTTCACTTGACAGCCTATGAGATATATTTCTTTACTTGAATTCAATTGAAAAATATTGTGAATCCTGGTTGAAAGGTGTGAATCTTGTGTGAAAGCATTATAAATAGACCCCTATATATTATGGAATTCTTTGTAACACAGATATACATTTAGTATTTTGCTCAAATGTATACTTAAAGTGACATTAAAGTCTACCCCCCACCACCACCTAATGTTAGTGTAAGGACTTACCTTAAATCATGCCTCTTAATCCAATCTTCTTCTTCTGTAGTGTAGTTTTCACATTTCCCTCCAGTGCTGGTGCGGGTCTACAATCCAGCGCTGACTCCTCTGTCCTCCTCTTCTCTGATGTCCCACGGAGTTTGTGCGGGTGCACGCTTCTCCATAGACTTACCTTGTGTCTCTCCTGGTCTCCCGGCCGAACATCTGAACTGCGCATGCTCCCGCCCCAAGATCCTTTGCGGCCGCCCGAGACCCTTCAGATGTTCAGACGGGAGCGCATGGCAAAGACACAGGTAAGTTTAAAGCTGTTTGAAAGGGTTGTTTTTTTTTTACGTTTTTGCTTGCTAGCAGGAGATATATGCAAAAACACGCTGAGGGTTTAATAACCCTTTAAAACTTGCCCTTGCCCCAGAACTCACCAAGAGCCTATTACATGGTTATATGCTGACTCCAGAAGCCATGTAATACTATAGTTGTTATTATTCTTCATACAAACTATACATACTGTACATGTTTTCTAATCATTTTGTTTAAGGTGGAATGAATTCAGAGTTCAGGACTTATGTCCAGTCTGGCAAGCTTGATATGCCTAGTTTCATTTTTTGGAAAATACAAAACATAGATTTGTAACTGTCCTCGCCCCAGGAAGACTGAAACCATCTGGTTAATTATCTTGTTCATCCAATCTGTACACTTTCAGTCAGTAAGCGGATGTGTCAATTAAATCATTGCTCTTTTGCATTAGTATTTTTTATCTTTGCCCTAAAGGCAATTTCTATTATCTTTTAACCCATTCCAGTGTCTGGATTTATAGTGTACCGCCTGCTGTATTGTGTTTTTTTACAGCAGCCAGAATATAACCTGTAGTAAATCCTGAGCTAAAATGGCTGCAGACATCCCAAATGATTTCGGTAGGGATCACTTTTGATAATGGGGTTAGGATCACTCTCTGTACTACAGGACCTACTGTTTAATAAAGTTGCAGTTATTATTTGATGTATGGCCAGCAATAGGTGTGCAGTTATGGTCCCAACAAACCCATCAGAAACAACTTCTCTGTAATTGTTTACCTATGCAACACAGTATTTTTTTTTTGCATTGACAGTCAATTTTGATCACTCACATACATAAAATATTTTTGCATTGCTTGCAAAATGTTCAGGAAGGCTTACGTTGGCCATACACCAGTAGAATGTTATTCGGAAAAAATGTGCTTTCAAAATGTTCTTTGATTTTCTAATAGTTATTGGGGTCAAATAAACAATTGATTTCAACTGTAATGCCCAAGAAAACTGAAGG